ATGCGAAAGCTCGACAATGAAGAAGGAAGGCTGAAGAAGTGATGCCTTTGAATTATGGTTTTGGTGAAGAATATTGAATATACCCATGGACTGCCAGAACAACAAACAAATTTGTCTTAGAAGAAGTACAGCCAGAATGTTCCTTAGAAGTGAGGATGAGGAGACTTCGTCTCACATACTTTGGACTTGTTATCAGGAGGGAGAAGGACATCATGCTTGGTAAAGTAGAGGGTGAGCAAAAAGAGGAAGACCCTCAATGTGATGGATTGACAACAGTGGCTGCAACAATGGGCTCAAACTTAGCAACAATTGTGAGGATGGCACAAAAGAGAACAGTGTTTTGTTCTGTTGCGCATAGCATCGCTATGAGTTGGAACCGACTCAATGGCACCTAACAATATTCCTAGGCTCTCTATTCTGTTCCATTGATCTGTGTGTCTCTCTCTCCTCCAATACCATACAGTCTTGATTACTGGAGCTACAGTATAAGTCTTGAAAAAGGATAACTCATTCCTGCCACTTTATGTTCTTTTTCAAAATTGTTTTAGTTATTCTGGTTCCTTTGGCTTTCCATATAAACTTTAGAATAATCTTGTCTATTTCTACAAAAACATCTGCTGGAATTTTGATAGGAATTGCATTAAACCTGTGTATGAATTTGGATGAATTGATATCTTGACTATGTTGAGTCTTCTAGTCCGTGAACATGGTTTGTCTCTCTGTTTATTTAGATTTTCTTTGATTTCTTTCGTAATATTTTGTAGTTTACAGCATACAAGTTCTGTGCGGTGTGTGTTTTCCTAGATTTACACCTAAATATCTTTTTTTTTCTTGAGTGATTGTAAATGGTAAAATATTTTAATTTCAGTGGCCACATGTTCATTGATAGTGTATAGAAATGCAGTCAATTTTTGTATGGTTTCTTGCTTGGACTCTATGACCTTGCAGAAACACTTATTCTGGTAGTTTTTTTTTTTTTCTTTTCTTTTTGGTATATTCCTTGCAATTTTCTACACAGACAATCATGTCATCTATAAATAGAGATAATTTTGTTTTTTTCCTTTCCAATCTGTATGCCTTTTATTTCTTTTAGACTTACTGCACTGGTTAGAACTTTCAGCACTATGTTGAATGGGTGTCGAGAGTGGAGATCCTTGCCTTGTTATTGATCTTAGGTAGAAAGCATTCAGTTTTTCACCATGAATTATAATGTTAGCCACAGGGCTTTTTTTAAATTTTTTTCTTTTGGTAAATGCTCTTTATTAAGTTGAGGAAGTTCACTTCTATTCCTAGTTTTCTGAGAGTTTTACCAAGAATGGGTGCTGAATTTTATCAAGTGCTTTTTATGAATCAGCTGATGTGATCATGTGATTTTTCTTCTTTAGCCTGTTACTATGGTAGATTACACTGATTGGTTTTCGAATACTGAACCAACTTTGCATTCCTGGATTAAGCTCCACTTGGTTATGGTGATTAATTCTTTTTGTGTATTGCTGAAATCTATCGACTAATACATTGACAAGGATTTTTCTGTCTCTATTTGTAAGAGATAGTGGTCTGTAGTTTTCCTTTTCTTTCTGTGTTTGTTTGTTTTGGTACTCTCTTTCTCTGGTTTTGGTATTAGGGTAATACTAGCTCCGTAAAATGAATTGAGGAATGTTCCCTTCTCTTCTATTTTCTGCAAGAGATTGCAAAGAATTATGTTAATTCTTTTTAAACATTTGGTGGAATTCTCCAGTGAAACCATCTAAGCCTGAAAATTTCTCTTGTGGGGGATGTTTTAAGTTCCAAATTCAATTTTCTTAATAGTTACAAGGATATTCAAATTATCTGTTTCATATTGCGTAAGATGTGGTAATTCATGCTTTCTAGGAATTGGCCCATTTTACCTAAGTTGTCATATTTACATGTGTACGGTTGTTCTTAATGTCCCCCTTCTTATCCTTTTGATGTCTGCAGGCTCTGTAGTAATATCACCTATTTCATTCCTGATATTGGTACTCTATCTCTTCTCTCTTTTTTCTTTGTCAGTCTTACTATAGGTTTGTCAATTTATTGATCTTTTAAAAAAAAAACAGCTCTTTGTTTCATTGATTTTCTTTCTATTTTTGTCTTTTCAATTTCATTGGTTTCTGCCCTTATCTTTATTATTCTCTGCTTAGTTTTGATTTATTTTGATCTTTCGTTGTTGTTGTTGTTGTTGAGGTGGGAGCTTATATTATTGATTTGAGACTTCCTTTCTTCTCATGTAAGCATTTAAACCAAAAAACAAAACAAACCCATTGCCGTCAATTCCGACCCATAGCGACCTTATAAGACTGAGTAGAACTGCTCCACAGGGTTTCCAAGGACAGCCTGGTGGATTTGAACTGCGGGCCTTTTGGTTAGCAGCCATACACTCAACCACAGCACCACCAGGGCTCCGCGTAAGCATTTAGCGCTATAAACTTCCCCTCTTAGCAGTGTTTTTGTTGTTTCCCACGGCCAAATTTTGATGTGTTATATTTTCATTTTCATTCAGTCTAATGTATTTTTTATTTCCCTTGAGACTGTCTCTTTGAAGTATTTAGAAGTGTGTTGTTTCATTTCCCAGTGTTTGAAATTTTCCTATTATCTTTATATTATTAATTCCTCATTTGATTCTGTTTTGGTCAGAGAACATAGTCTATATCATTTCAATTCTTTTAAACTTGTTGATGTTTTCTTTATGGCCCAGGATATAATCTATAATCTATAATCTGCGTAGGTGCTTGAAAAGAATGTATATTCTGCTGTTGTTAGGTGGAGTGTTCTATAAATGCCGATTGTTTGATGGAGTTTCAAATTTATCTCAAGAGTTTGAGGTTAATTCTTGAAGGTTATGTGATACATTACTTTTGCCAAAGAGTTCAGAATAAGAGATCTAAAATCCCGCTGTGATTTCCCCAATGAAGCCTGTGAAGTCTTTTCACTGGTGGTCTTTGTCACTAAAGTCTCTGCTTTTCTTCCCTGGCAGATATGGTCATTTCTGAAGGCTCGGCTGTGGACCAGCCAGTAGCTCAACCTACAGCTGTATGAAAGTTTCCTAGCTGACATGTAGTTTTAAAAGATATAACAAAACTTGATTTTTTTTCTGTGACTCAAGACGTAGAATGTGAAAGCTGGAGGGAAACATGGGTCATGTAGTTCCACCCTTTCATTTGGTAGGGTGAGGGATAAGATCCCAACAGGTTAGTTTAGACTGATTAATTTTTTTAATGAAATTAGCATATATTCATTATAGAAAATTTATAAAATATGGAAAAACAAAAATAAGATTATCATCTTAACTTATACCAAACCAGTTGCCATCAAGTCAACTCCAATGCGTGGTGATCCCATGTGTGTCACAGTAGAACTGTGCTCCATAGGGTTTTCAATTACTGTGTTTTTGGAAGTAGATCACCAGATCCTTCTTCCCATGCACCTCTGGGTGAAGTCAAACCTCCAGTCTTTCAGTTAGCAGCTGAGTGCATTAAGTGTTTGCACCACCTAGGGACATCATATTTAAATCATATACAATCTTATAACCAAAAGATAACAACTATTATTAATTTGTAGTGTACCCTTCCAATATGTTCTCAAAAATGGAATCCCCATTACGTTTTTATTTTTTATGTTGTTAAAGTAATTATTTTTACTTTAAAACAGACATAGACATTTTCCAAGATAGTATTTCTAATAGCAGAATACGATTCCATAATACAGATATACCGTCATTCACTTAACAAATCCCCATTTGATGGACAGTTTCAGTTACGGTTTCATTATGCTAAATAACACCAGGATGAACATCTTCTGTGTACATACATGATTATATCCTAGAAACAGAGACACGGGGTCAAAGGCTATAAACATTTGTAGCTTTTGAGCTCCATTGCCAAATTGGATGAATGACATTTTTTGTTTGCTTAGGTGGGTTTGGTTTTGTTTTAATTTGTTTTGTTTTCAGTGGTGGGTTAGGTGTAGAGTCAACCTAGAGGATACATGAAGGTAGAACTAAGACTTATGTAGGTTCTCAGTGTTTTCAAGCCTGAACTAATAATGGCCAACTGGAGCCAAGAAGAAAAGTCTCCTTTCCCAAGAGCATGTTGTTGTCATGTAGTCAGTTGCCACCGAGTCGGCTATGTACAATGGAACGAAATGTTGACTGGTCCTGCCCCATCTTCACGGTTGTTGGCATGCTCAAGCCCACTGTTGTGGCCGCTGTGTGTTTTGAGCGCTTTCCAACAACCTAGGGGACTCATCTTCCAGCACTATATTGGCCAATGGTCTGTTGTGATCATAAGATTTTCAGTGGTTATTTTTCAGTAGACTGCCAGATCTTTCTTCCTAGTCTGTCTTAGTAGGATGTCTGGAAAGAACAGGACAGTGAGGTATCCAGCATTGCGTATGACCAGGAAACAGGAAAACAGGCAGATTATATGCAGCCTGGGACCTGAACTTCGCAAAACCAGCAGCCCAGCCCAGTTTTACAGGCCAGGCAACAGAAGGACAAACTTGCTTAACCCGGCCAGCTTCCTCTCTGTGGTACTCCACGGGAACATCATGTTTTAAACTGGAGATATGGCTTGAACTTACTTCGTCACGGCAATTGCTGCCCATAAAATGGACGAAGGCACAAAGTATGTAAACTTCCCATATGTAGCAAACCCATCCTGCCTGCTTTTATAGCTGGTCCAGCAAAGGAAGCACCACCAGCCCTTCCCACTCTACTGAGAGACCATTGAGAGTACAGGTTTGTGGGGCTGGAGCAGTCAAGGAGGGAAAGGGCATTTGAAGGTAGACAGGAAAACCTCAGGCTCAGGGGAGCCCCTGACCACCTGCCAGCAAGGCCAGAGCTTCCCTCCAGGTAACCCAGGCAGCACTTCAGCCGCACGTTGGCACCGCGTCCCCAGAACACACAGGATGCAGGCCCATGAAGGCCTACAGATGTTTGCCCTTGTCGGTGTTCCATCTGTCTTTCTGCTTTCCATTTACAGAGAGAGAAGAATTAATCCAGAGCATGCTGACTCAGGTCGCAGAGCAGTTCTCAAGGTACAGAACATCTTAAATGTATAATATCATAATATCGACAGGTGTGTGCTTTTTATTTCAATGGCGAAGTGGGCGCCTTGCTCTGGGCCTGGCAGGAGAAACTGCCTTTAGTAGGAAACTTTCCGTTGTTTCCATACCTAAGCCAACTTGGATGGGGTCCAGGAAAGGCTCACCTGTATTAAAGATCGTGCCAGGCGGGCACTTTGAGGATAAGGCAAGAATGTTCTCTCTGGGTTCTTTTGTGGCTCCTAGGACAACCTACAAAAACTGTCACCATTTAAAAAATAAAAATAATAATAGATTTTAAAAATAAGCTTTCTCCCTGAGATTCTGTGTCGACGTAGGACTTCCTTCTCATCCCGAGTTATCTTGTCAATTCTAAAGTAAATATGTTCAGTGTCGTCTTTCTGCCCTGGTAATTAAAATGGGAAAATGGAACAATGAAGGCCCAAGATTTCTTTAACTGGGTGGCTGGTGCCTCGAGAGAGCACACAGGTCCCTTGAAGGTGGCCTGTGCCCAGAAGAGCAGGGTCCAGGGAGGAAGTGAGTCCTCCCCAAGAACCTGTGCTCACAACCCAGGTGGGGAGAAGAAAAAGCACCCACCAGTGTAGAGCAGCTGTGTGCCCCTCTCTGGGAAAATGCTCCGTTGGTGTAATTTGTGGGTGTGTCTTCCTCCGTCACCCCCCAACGATCTAAGTGCCTTCTGAGCAACTGGTGGCCTATGTACCCACCCCCTTGGCAGCCCACCTGCAGCCTCCCCACCAAGGGATTCAATAGACCTTTGCTGAGCCAATTTCAGTTCTGAGGGTTGTGTGGATTATGTTTTGTCTTTCTTTTTCCTTTTCTTCCCCATTCCTAGAGCATTTAAAATCAACGAGCTGAAAGCTGAAGTCGCAAATCACCTGGCCGTGCTAGAGAAACGAGTTGAATGTGAGTGGGCTTTCACATCCTTTTTGGCTTCTAGGTTTTCTAACCTTTGTTAAAATTAACCACTTGGAACAGCAACCAGGTTGGCAGTGAAGACAAGGAGGTAAAATGTAAGTACCCATGTCTTTTCTTTGTAAAATGCTTAAAAATCACCTTTACTGGGAACAACGGTAAGAACGGTGACTCAGCTAAGTATTTTTTGTTTAAAAGTAACATCAGCACATAGTAAAACATTTCTTCCGTGCAGAAGAGTCCAGAATGAAAACTCAAAGCCCACTAAAGGTAGTCTCTTGGGGGAGGAGCTTCTGCTGAGTTCTCGTGTGTATCTCCTTTTTACATCAATGACAGCATATTCTACTCACCAACCCACCCCTGCCATTTCACACGTATCTGGAATGTGTCCACTGGGAGGAAGATGGCTTGCAGTCCCCTTACACTGTGCCCTCCACCTACAAAGTAAGGGACAATGCCTGACTTCCATGTGTCTCCCCATTCTGTGTTCAACTGACAGCTCAACAGTAAGGAAAGCTCTTTGTCAACAGCAAGGAAACTCTTTGTCAACGGCAAGGCTAATGTTAACTATTAAATAGAACGAGTTGTCTCTGAGTCCACTCCAACTCATGGAGGTCTCACATGTGTCAGAGGAGACCTGTGCTCCATAGGTTTTCAATGGCTGACTCTTTTGGAAGTAGATCATCTGGCCTTTCTTCCCAGGTACCTCTGGGTGAACTCGAACCTCCAAACTTTTGGTTAGCAGCTGAGCATATCAACCATTTATAGCACCCAACTACTAAATAGGCCACGGTTATGGATTTAATTGTGTCCCCCCAAAATTAGTGTTGTAAATTCTAACCTCTGTGCAGGTGGTTATAAACCCATTGGGGATGGGTTGTCTTTGTTATGTCAATGAAGCAGGATTAGTGTAGAGTATGTCTTGTGTCAACCTCGTTGGAGATATTAAAGAGATTAAACAAGCAAGCAGAGATGGGGGAAGAGAGATGCCAAGCCACATGAAGATCGCCCTGGGGCAGAAGCTCAGAAGAGACAAAGACCTTCCTCCAGAGTCAACAGAGAAGGAAAGCCTTCGCCTAGAGCCAGCACCCTGAATTTGGACTTGTAGCTTCCTAAACTGTGAGAAAATAAATTGCGATTTGTTAAAGTCACCCCCTTGTGGTATTTCTGTTACAGTAACACCGGATAATTAAGACAGGTACCATATTCATTAACTCAGCAAATGAGGTGACTATACCCAAATGTGAGGCCACACAGGGCCGCAGCATCATCAGAGTCTCTGGCTGGTTTGTGTGCGTATGACTTGCTGAATGTCTCCTCATATCTTGTTTGAATTTCTTGGAATTTTTCAAGAAAAAAATTCAAGATTATGCAAAAGCCAGTTCATCTCAATACTTTGAAACCTGATTTCCATAGTAGTATTTATACTTTGATACTTTTTTATACTTTTACCCCAAGCCTCTGTCAGTCTGTTGTATTGTAGGGGCTTGCGTATTGCTGTAACGCTGGAAGCTATGCCACCAGTATTCAAATACCAGCAGGGTAACCCATGGTGGACAGGTTTCAGCTGAGCTTGCAGACTAAGACAGACTAGGAAGAAGGACCTGGCGGTCTACTTCTGAAAAAAATTAGCCAATGAAAACCTTATGAATAGCAGCAGAACATTGCCTGATGTAGTGCCGGAAGATGAGCCCCTCAGGTTGGAAGGCACTCAGAATACAACTGGGAAAGAGCTGCCTCCTCAAAGTAGAGTCAACGTTAATGACGTGGATGGAGTCAAGCTTTCAAGACCTTCATTTGCTGATGTGGCACGACTCAAAGTGAGAAGAAACAGCTACATCCATTAATAATCAGAATGTGAAATGTACAGAGTATGAATCTAAGAAAACTGGCATTGTCAAAAATGAAATGAAATGCATAAATATTGATATCCTAGGCAGTAGTGAGCTGAAATGGACTGATATTGGCCATTTTGAATAAAAAAATCATATGGTCTACTATGCCAGGAATGACAAATTGAAGAGGAATGGCGTTGTGTTCTTCGTCAAAAAGAACATTTCAAGATCTATTCTGAAGTACAACACTGTCAGTGATAGGATAATATCCATATGCCTACAAGGAAGACCAGTTAATACGACTAATATTCAAATTTACCCACCAACCACGAAGGCCAAAGATGAAGAAGTTGTAGATTTTTACCAACTTCTGCAGTCTGAAATTGATCAAACATGCAATCAGGATGCATTGATATTACTGGTGATTGAAACGTGAAAGTTGGAAACCAAGAAGAAGGATGGGTAGTTGGAAAGTATGGCCTTGGTGACAGAAACGATGCTGGAGATCGCATGACAGAATTTTGCAAGACCAATGACTTCTTCATTGCAAATACCTTTTTTCAACAACATAAACAGAGACTATACACGTGGACCTCGCCAGATGGAATACACAAGAATCAAATCGACTACGTCTGTGGAAAGAGACGAGGGAAAAGCTCAATATCATCAGTCAGAACAAGGACAGGGGCCGACTGTGGAATAGACCATCAATTGCTCATGTGCAAGTTAAAGTTGAAACTGAAGAAAATTAGAACAAGTTGACAGATATTTTGGGAGGACACAGTTCAATCCATGACAGTTGCATTCACAGATTCCAGGGATTAGGATGTGGACACATCCTTTTGGTGGGCACTACTCGACCCACTACAAGGTCGCTGGGTGGTGCAAACAGCTTGCCCTTGACCACTATCCTAAAAATTAGTGGTTTAAACTCACCCAGTGGCACCATGGAAGAAAGTCCTGGTGATCTGCTTCAGTAAGATTACAGCCATAGAAAATCCTATAGAGCACAGTTCTGCTCCGTAACACATGGGTGGTCATGAGTTAGAGTCAACTTGATGGCAGTGGGTTTTACTCAGCCCACTGCAGTGAGTATTGGGTTTTTCCATCTTTTGTAGTGAGTGACTAGCTCAGCTTCCCATCAAGACCCAGAGCGCAGAAGATTCTCCAAATTTGGGAAGGGGTTCAGCCAAAGAATGAGAAGTCATTTGCCAAAAATCAGCCACCATCTACATTTACAGATGCAGAAAGTCGCAGAATCACAACTAAGCATGCAAATGCCCGGGGGCAGAGGGGGCTTGGCTGCTCTGCTCTCCAGCTCCACCCAGCTTCTTCCAGGGCCGGCCTCTCTTCTCCCCCTGTCCACAGAGAAGCCAGTTTCATCCCCCTCCATTACACTTCAATATAAATAGCCAGGTTGAATAGGCCATTAGCTAATTTTCAAAACTCTTCTTATAGAGAAATACATTGACCTCAACATGGTTGATAATGAGCCCATGTGGCTTTGACTGTCTGGCCACGGAGATAGCTATCAGGCGAGAAGAATTCTTATTTTGCCTTCTAGTGTGTGTGTGAACTGAAGACCACTTAAGGATGTATCCATGTTACCTTCCCCTCTAGCCTGTCCTGGGCCCTGGAATCCTCCAGACTGAACCCAGTCCTCTGAGAAGAAATGTTCCTCCTATAAGGCCCTCGTGCCAATGCACATACATTAAATGGGAAAATAACACCACCCCTTTACCCCCACTGAGCTCAGGCTCATTGCACCGATCAAAATTACTAGCTTTTTACTAGTGAAACTAATCTTTGCTTGTTCCACTAATTACTAGAACCAAACATGTGGTGATTAAGTAGTTTCTGACTCATGGCAACCCCATGTGTTACAGAGTAGAACTGCCGCATAGGATTTTCTTGGCTATAATCTCTAGGGAAGCAGATCACCAGGCCTTTCTTCTGCTGTGCCCCTGGGTGGGTTTGAACCTCCAACTTTTTGGTTAACATCAAGCACAAACTGGTTGTGCCACCCAAGGACCAATCAGTACTGTCACTAATGGCTAGTGGTGGAGGCCTAGGCACTGGAGGAATGGGACCTCGAAGGAGCACACATCTCTAGGGAGGGAGGAGGGAAAGGCCTAGGAGTTATGGGATGAGAGAGGCATGGGCAGTGGACAAGCAGGGACTGTGGGCAGTGGGGTTCCTCCCTCACCTGCTTCCCACTGCCAGCCCTGGCACCTCCTCCTGGCTGCTGCCGCCCACCGTAAACACGGCTGGTTCACATGTCCGAGCAGGCGGCTCTCTTCCTCACTGAAGGCCACCTAGCTTCGGCCTTCTTTCCTGGACTTCTGACCGACCACTTCCCAGTCTCCTGCAGCATCTGCTTAGCACAGGGTGGCTGGGCTGGTCTCCATAGAGTATTGACAGTTCCAAAAAGACAGCCTGGAGATGCAATGCTGGAACCCAAGATGAGGGTAACCTGACATTTCAGGGACCTTGGAAGGTAAAGAAGGGAGCGGGTCTTGCAGCTGGACCCCTAGTACAGGTCACTTGGGGAACTGCTCATCCAAGCTGCTCAGGTCAATCCTGACCCTACACAGCTGCTGGAGGCAAGTGGGCCGGGGCCACTACCCTGGGAAGGCCGCTGGACACAATTCACATGCTGTTCCACTGTCCGGGGTCCAGATATACAACTCATATATGCACTCTCACACATGCATAAACACAGAGACAAATGCATATACATGCATATGCATGCACACATGTATAAACACAGATACACATGTGTGTGCACACATATAAACAGACAGAGACATTATTAATACACACACGCATGCACTGTGCATAAACGCACAAGGGCACACGTTTATACACTGACACAGATACTCACACAGCCACATGTACATACTCACATACAGATACATAAACACACAGAGAGACACACACATACACAGCCACGGTCAGACGTATTCACACGTACACACATGTATAAATGCAATCAATATACATGTAAATACAGACACACGCATGTACACACACATGAAGACACACACGCATATGCACTCACACATACACGCACATGCAAATACCCGTATGTAAACACGTGTAAACACAGAGAAACACATGCATATACACTCAAGCACATACCCACACACATATAAA